TTATTAATTTATTTATGAATATTTTCCGATACGAAATTCGTAGTTACAATTATAATTGAAAAAACAAATTATTAAATTTATAATAATTAACTCGCGATTCCATAATATCGAAGGTGATCGTTAAATTTTGCGAAACTAATATTTAATCGTTGACTTATCACATCGAATCTTCACATTCTTATTCGATAATTCTGTATATTTAATTAGCAATATTTGGAAATATTATGTGACGAGAGGGCCAGCGATAAAATTCTTTTGTTAAAACGATAATTTTGTATAAGAACTTGTATTAAAAATTTTAAATTTGATTCGCGCGATGCATATACTTAATACACTGAGGAAAAAATTATCTTAAAATAAAAAAATTTTAGTTAACTCAAGAAAGCTATTTAAAAATCGTGTTATTCTATGATACCGGCAGGACGTTCGTATAATAGCGAAAACACGCGGGCGTGTCCAGGTATGTTACCCGGTATCTCACCTGCCCACACGTGCGCATTCTGCTTTGCCTGCCTTCCTGCTTGGGAGCGCATCGCGCGATATACAAGGAACGTGCGCGCCGATGATGTAAATCGTTGCATTGTCCATTATAACTATCTCTGCGCAGGCAAATAACTTTTACTAACGACGGGATTAATAAAATTGAGATGTCAAGATTAGTCTTGACATCGTCTTCTTGATAATTAAAAATCTTGTCTTGAATTTCTTGAAAAATTATTGGTCTTATCAAGATTATTGATTTTTTAAAAAAAGCTAAAATATATGTGCCCTGAGAAAAATCGTTTGATTGTACCAACAAGACGTATATGATTGAAGGCATTTTGGTTAAATCAAACAAGAATTTCTAGTTATCATGATAAGACTCGATTTTTTATAACTAGAACGTTTAATAGATTTTAATTAATTTATTAATTTATTAATTTTATAAGGATTTGGTTAGTATTTTCTGATTGAATTTATAAAATTTCTTGTTACATTAATTTTTTTACTTGCCTCTAAGCTACTCTTAACTTAACTCGTATTCAATATTTGCCATGAAATGTATATAAAGAGAACTAGTATTAACATTAAATCCAAAGTATATTTCTTTCTCTTACGAGCAATAATGCCAGAAAGAGGACGCTAGCACTCTGATTGTAAGTGTTTGAGTTGCATCCTCTTCTTGCATCACTGTTTATCAGTTTAATTTCTAACAAACTGAATTTAAAATAATTTATTCAATAATCTGGATTGAATTTATCAATAATCGTGTTGGAATTCAAAATATTAAACAGACTTTTCAGATTAGATGGAAAAAATTTTAGACGACTTGGTGCTGGTGAGTTTAATATTATTAACCAGAAAATTTGATAAATTTAACAGGAAGAAATTAATCAGATTCATCTGATAATTCCTACAAGAATTCTGGTTCGTCCATTTTCCAACAGACATACTGCTTGAATCTACCAGAATTTAATTAATGCAACTAAATTTTTTCTCAATGTGTATATTTGTAAATTAAATGTTAAAAAAAAAATGAACTATATTATACGAACTTAAACAAATTTATTTAATAAATAAAAATGTTTATATATTGACAATTTTAAAAACAATTAATACAATAAACAAAATAAACAATAAAAAATTTTACATAAAACTATAGCACATGTACAAAGTTTTTTGGGTGCGTGCGTTTGCATGTAGCCATCTGTATTCTATATGTAATTACCTTTTCATACCAATAACGAATATTTAATAATATAATGTTTTTTGGGAGGTAAATAGAATGACACATAACTAATAATTATTTGAAATAATTATATATTATAAAGATTATATTAAATATTATTTTTTTTAATTGTTTAGTATTAAATAAAAATTGTTAATAAAATCGAGACAAGACAAAATACAAGACGAAATTTTTGCAAAGATTCACTCAAACCAAGATTTATAAATTTTTGAAAATTTTTAATACCAACACAATATTTTTATAAACATTATCTTATCTTAAATCTTGTACAACCCATATATTATTTTCTTTTCTTATTATGCACTAGTTGCCAAAATCGTTGCTCAATAAATACTGAATTACATCGATTATCGGATATTTCGAATTAGACAGACGAGAATTTACATACTTGCGACCAATGTTGGTGGTGCAACCGCACTCCCAAGTCGTGTAAAAGCGGATGACCTCGCGGAGTCATGGACCGCGTTACTTCCGTTGTTTGTTCGCTTCTGTCTCAGGAATTTTTGCGCCGGCAGGTGTGATATTGTTTCTCAAAATCTTCCCTTCCAGGACTAGACAATCGCGCTATCATCGAGGAACGCGTGTCTGTAGAATGCTATGATAAATGAAACCTAACTCTACTCTCTAAAAGTGAATCAGTGAAAATATCACTAATTTAAACAGTAAAATAAGATTTTACTGAGAATCAGTGAGTATTTTAATGATCTTCAATGGAAACGCTTATTTTTTTGTTATTTTATCTTATATCTCACTGATTATGGTCAGTTAAAATAAAATTCACTGTAAAATCAGTAAATTTTACTGTAAAACCAGTAATCGCTAGTTCGTTCATTTACCGCTACAATCGCTATCTCTCTCTCTCGTATTTAATTTTAGTTATAAGAATTATATAAAGTTTGCAAAGAGCGACATTTAAAATTAGAAGTATTACTTCGATTTAATTTCTGATACAAGCCCAATAGAGAGGCTTCAGATATTAAATTACTATTTATTGTTTTTCAGTGATAATACACTGATTCATTTTTAGAGAGTAGGCGCTTCTATCTTCGAAGCGGTGCGCATCATCGTGAATCGAGGATTTATCAGCGTCGACAAGTAATCGTTCACGCAATTACAAAAGATAAAGCGGGCCCTTTCAACAGAGATTTCCGCGCTACGGTTCATATTATAGCGATTACCAACGTCATCGGTATTGCTTCCTGTTGCTGCTTTTAAGAGAATGTCTTATTTATATAATCACAGATAATTATCATTACAGATAATTATCATTACATCATCATAGTAAAAAAGAGCGAGCAATATCTCATGGATTAGATATGCAGACGATTACATCTAAAGCTTGTGTTAAGGATGGACTTGCACTTTCATTTTGTGCTTAAATATCCTGCTCGAATTGAAAACTGATGATTCACTTCCAAGTCACTTGCATAATGTTTCAGTGATTTGTAGTCTTACAAGTTTTTGATTTTGAAAAGGTTAAAAAATAGTCTGATTGATAATGTAAACTAGTTGATTAACTTTTTTATTTAGGGTAATTAATGATAAGAAAATATTGTCATTTTCAAATTTAAGATTAATCCCTAAAGCAAGACCAGACTTTTCTAAAAATATTGATCTATAAATCTATAAATTTATAAATAATGATGAATTAATTTACGTAGAAAACTGAATGCAGAATTATAAAGCTTAATGTTTTTCTTATAAAGTTTTAAATGTTATAAAGATTAATGTTCTTCTGCTTTTCAATTCATTCTAGATAGTTCTATAATTAAATCATTATGCACCTGACGACGAGTTGAAGTGTAATTTGTATTCCGTACGTCGATTGTGTATACACGTATAACGTTTGCTGCACGTGAAAACACGTGTCCATTATAGTAACACAGTGAACCGATTCAGAATCTGGTCCTTGTTTCAGACATGAATTCGATACCGCCAATTCATACAATGAATTCACGCTAATGACTTACGGTCCCTCAAAAGTAGAACAACACGCCAACTTTTCGTACTCTGTCTGACCAATCGATGTCGGTTTTCACTTGTATCATTCATGCGACAAAAAAACGAAAATTTTCTCGAAATAATTCTGTAAGAGTGGTTATTATGCCTCATACTTTTTATTTTGAAGGCCTGTTATTACCCAAAGATTACTATGATTTTAACATTAGTTAAGACTTAACTGACATTTTAGAGTTAGAGAGACAACTTTGTAAATTACGAGTGCCAGCTACACAGACCGAATTCTAATTTATCGATGTCGTATCGGCTGTTACCGATATTTACGTTTCTGCGAAAAATCACCATTTTCCTTCGTTTTCCACGAATTCGCAAAGCTGCGATTTCGCGATTTCGCGATGTAAGTGTAAATCTACGCGACAGATCTGTCTCCCACGAGATTTATGTAAAAAAGGAATACATTTTATAGATGTGTTTTGCAAAAATATCAATATATACCAATATATATGTCATTTAAAATATGCGTTTAATTTAAAACACAGAAAAAAACAAATATAATACAAATAATATTTTATGTGTGAAGGAATTAAATTTAAAGTTGTACGATAATGTGGAGATCTTTCAAAATACACTACATCTTTCAAATGTATAATTAAAACATTTATCACATAAAATTGAAAGTGGACAAAGAAAAAACATAAAAATATTATTTCGTATAACAAAAAAAAATTTAATTTAATTAACTTTGTTGACAAATTTAAACTGCTGCAGATATAAAAATATAATCATAGTATTGTAAATCGATTCAAGTATACGATAATATATTTCGTCGATTAAAATTATTTCGAAGAAAAAGATTCTAGTTACCAAAAAAAAAGTAGAAAACAATTCATTAATCCAAAGAATGAAAACTTGTTACAGCAAATAAAGATGAAAATTAAAACAGCAATCATGATCCACTATGGCGTCCTCTAATCATCGAAATAGATATCTATCAATCTTGACACCTTAACATATGATGCGTGCATTATTTCGAAAAAAAGATATTCATTTTTATCCAGGGCAAAACTCGTGGGAAATGTCCATTGCGTCGATTGAAACTTTCTTTTAATTCTATGAATAAGACTCAAAAAAATAAATGTTTTATTAGCTTTGCACACATATATTTTATGGATAAAGGTTTTTATTGTGATTGCACATGCTAGAGGATCCTTACATACGTTAAATTTGGGTATATAGAGTTCTGATTTATAAGATTTTTTATGTGTATATTTTCATAATTAAACTTAATGTTTACATAATATTTTCCTCATAATTGAACGTATAATATGCATAACAATTTTCTTCGATTTTTCCCACTGCATCATCTTGTTACACTCTTGCAATATCCATGTTATTTTTAAACGGCTGTTTGTATTCGATCGGGATGAATCTTATATGAACCGGATGAGCAGGATGTATTACTAAATCAAGCAATAATCGAATATTTTTTAAGTACTCAACAGGTTCCACGTAAAAATTATGTATCAGAGGAGCTATTATAGCTTTCATCATCAGCAATCCGAGACGTTGACCTACAATTCGAAGTTTAAATTATCGATACGAAAAGAAACGAAAATCGCGATCAATTCACCTATGCAATTTCTCGGTCCTGCGCTGAATGGTATATAAGAATAAGGATGACGATTCTTTATCCTTTCGGGTAAGAATCTGTCCGGATCAAATACATCTGGATTTGGCCAAAAATTGGGATCTCTGTGAACTCCGTAGATATTAAGACCTAAGATCGTTCCAGCGGGTACGATATATGATTCTGAAAATTATTATAAAATTGAAAAATACTAAAATTCACGAAAATAAGCGTTTCTTTGAGAAAAATAAAATATAACAATATTGTATTCTTAAAATACTAATTAATCTTACTTTACACTCAATAATATATACTCCATATTATGTAACATATTCAAAAATATATGCAGCAAAAAGTGACTATAATTACGTAATTTTACAGCATCCCCAGTCTTGCGTAATATGAAAGACGCGCTGGGATACAAACGTAGCGCTTCCTTTAAACATCTGTCTAAATATGATAAATTTTGTAATGACTTCATGTTAAGTTTTCCTCCATTCTCTTGCATCACAGTATCGACTTCAGCCCTCACATGCTCCTGTGTCATCAATAATATAATGAAAATGTATTTCTCAATTCTGATTTTTAGTGCACAGATAAAGATAAATTCTTTATGAATCAAATTTTAATATATCTAGGAAAAATATATCGTAACAAGAACTTAATATCTTTATTACATTGAATAAAAGTCTTAACTTAAATTATATATCGCAATATATTGCGAGAAATAGGTACCTGGATATCTTTATGCTCAGCTAAGAGAAGTAAAGCAAACATTATGCCCGTCGCTGTAGTATCATGACCCTATAACCATCATCATTTGCATATCGTTATATTGTTATACATACTTAGATATCATGTACAAAAAAATAAAAAAGTTTACAGATACATACTGCAAATATGAAAGTGTCAACTTCTTCTCTGATATCCGAATCAGTTAGAGAATTTTCTCGAGATGCCGCTATTAAAAGGTCCAACATGGCTAGCTTATATTTTTTAACTAAAAAAAACATATTAATAATAATTTCACTTTTACACGCCACACTTTCATTATACAATAACAGTTCTTGTTTAAAATTCAAACTCTATTACAAATAATAATGATTTAATTTTACAGCAAACATATGTTGTATTATTACATGTGATTATGTGTTTAATATAAATAATGCAAGCATAATGTACAATATTAAATTAATTGCGCAGCCAAACTTAAATTAGAAGCTCTGATCTCTTACGTACTTCCAAACACGTCGAAATTTTCTGCCTCTTTGTTACTTTCAAGGTTTTTTAAGTATCGGTCATTGGTGCGTTCGTGATAAAGTTTTCTTTCCGCGATGATCTATACAAGTACAATATTTAATTTCTGACAAGAAGTTTTATATTAAACAGCAATGGTATTGTAAATAAGTGCTATTTATAACATAATATTAATATTTACAATAAATAACAAAGATTACGAGATTTATAGTTATTTTACATATAAAAGTGTTGTAAGGTTTAAATTAATGTGATAACGTACTTTTTCCGTAAATCCATGCAATATTTTCAAGACTTTCTTTTGCTTTCTTCCTTGCGGTGATAATGAGAATAATAAATCATTATACAACCAAGGCCTTAATCCTCTAAACCAAAATTAAATAAAATTACATATTTTCAAATGATATAACTTCAATAATGTTGTTTTGTAAAAGTCTTAATTAAAGCCATCATGAAAAAAATCTAATAATCATAGAAAAAAAATAAAAAAAAAATCTAATACTAAACGAAATTCAATAAAATTACATAATTTCAAATGATGATATAATTCCAATAATGTTATTTTGCCTTCATTAAAGCTATCATGAAATTAGTTTAATCTTTAATGACCATAGATTGTAAAGAATATATAAAAAATTTAAATGTATATATGTTACAGAAAAGTAGAATTTGTATTAACAACTTTTTATTTTATCTAAGCTATAGAGTTTTGATCAAAGATAATTTCATTACAAATTTTGAATACATTTATTTTTCTCTTTATTGTTCTGATATTTTTAACATTTTAAAAATTACAAATAATTTTGTAATGAAATATTTAGTGATACACATACAATAGATTTTGATTAAAAATTGTCGACTTGTAAACGAACTGCCGTTTTCACTAAGTTCACCTTTACGTAATTATTCATTAATTAATTTATCTTTCAAAATGTATAATTTAATGTATCACAGTTAATAAATCATAGAAAAAGTTAGAATAAGTTAAAAGATGTGGATTATAAGTTAAAATATGATACAATTATATTCCAATTATATCTATGAATTACCTGTAAATTATTAATTCGTGTATATCGTGAATCGCATTTCGATACTTTTGTTGCACCTCGCCAAATTTTTGCAAAGAAACGCCCATGACAGTTTCTACAAATGCATTTAATTAAAACAGTCGAAGATTATTTACAGGTGAATATCTTGTAGATTGCTTTTTTTTTTAAATATTGAATATTATCTATTTTTCCTTGTTGATTATTGATACTTCGCATACAAACATTATTCTATTTTTATTTGAAGCTATAATCACTTAGAATAAAATTCCTGTATACATAATGCAAAATAAGAATCACTTACCGCATATCGCATTTAACGTATGTTCACTAATAAATGGTAATAAATCTTCTACAACTGTCCCTCCGACATCTTTCAAAGATTTTGTCATGTAATCGCCCTCCTTGATAAAAATATCCCCAAACTTATTTAATATATTAAAATGGAACGCAGGTGTTAACATCTTTCGCCGCGCCCGCCATTTAATCGCTAAAACAGAAACAAGATAACACAAAATTGTGCTATAAAAGAGAAATTGCAAATATCAACGTAAATGTAATTATTATTTTGTAATTAAATCTTTATAAATTGGCAGATAGAAATAAATTATTATAAATATAAATATATAAATATATAATATATAATATAATATATAATATATAATATACATATAATATATATAATATATTTAATAAATAATATGCTATAATATATATATATATATATATATATATATATTACATATAATATATAATATATAAATTAATAATAATTAAGTCTATTACTGATAGTACAATCTATTCGTGGTGGTGTATTTGATTTAACTAAAAAATATCTCTAAAATTACCAGATAAAAATAAATTACTATAAATATCTAAGGTATAATAATAATATAAATATATAAATATATAATATATAATATATAAATTTATATTAATTAAATCTATTACTGATATTAGAATCTATTAGTGATGGTGTTTGATTTAACTAGAATATCTATCTTATCTATTTCTTCATTTATAACCATATATATTGTACATGCATCACAGCGAAATTATTTCTCCTGAAAATTTCTTTTTTATTAATTTTTGTAACAAAGAGATATAAATTTACTATTTAGTATAATATTCTATTAATGTCTTTTATCTTTAATAACAACAACTATAATATTTTTATTTCAAGTTTATATTTAATTCAGACTCGCATACATAGATGACAGTTTATCAGAGCTTTTTTTTACCGTAGTGTAATACTAAAAGTACTTTTAGTGTTGTTCTACACTTTCCGCGAAATCTCGCTTGTAAACAGAAAGCTAATTTTGTAATCAGTCTAATTAATAAAGATTTAATAAAAGGAATCACAGCACAGTGACATCTATGTTTCGCAGTTATCCTGAGTTATATTGTGCACCGCTGCGGATTAAAGATAAAACTAGATATGTAATATATTTAAGTCTAATTGTAACATTTTGTTTGATTTTCTGTGATCTGGCTTGTAAACGAAGTGACGTTTCACAACAAATTGTAATAGAAAAGTATATATGTACTTATACATATATTAACATTATTATATTTTATTATTTTATTATTATATTATATTATATTATATATTATATTATATTATATTATATATATATTATATAATATTTTATTATATTATTATTATATTACCTGTACTAGTGCCGAGACCTGTATTTAACCAAGGATGAAGAACGTTATACAGAAAACTTTTCTCGATGTGCTTAGTGCTGCTTAGTATCGTCTGAAATCATTGGAAACAGAAAAAAATATATATTATTCACTTATTATATCACTGAAATATCTTAGATATACTGATATCTTAGATACACTTTAATGTTAGATACACAAATAATTTATAAATTGTATCTCTATATTTTATTCTAACCTCGATGGAGTATCAATTTGGATTTCAGTTTTTTTAAGAAACACTTTTTATCAGTAAAAATCTTTTTGTAAATCGCAAAACTCTTCAATCTAATTTAATCGTAATGTGTACAGAGAATGAAATTTCTTTTATTACCTCTAAATCATCTGGATGACGGATACCCACTAAATATATATAAAAAAATCCGAATTTAATAATGGGATAATATTCATCAGGTAATTTACAGAAGAGCTTCCATAATTTCTCTGAAAATTATATTATAAACATCAATACACAAATGTTTTGACTAATTTTATTTTCAACATTAATGTGCACTTCTATCCAAATACGTTGAAAACAGATAAAGAATAATAAAGAAAATGAATTGCAAATTGTTATTGCAAAGAAAAGTAATCTACATATAATAAACTTGATAAATATGTTTCAGAAAAAATGATTTATGAATTTTTGCTTCTGACACAGATTTCATTTGTCAATTAATGTAAATAGCTTAGAAATTTTGTATTTACCTGCTGACACATAGCATTGGAGCGCATTGCCAATAATCGGAAAACCCGATGGTCCCGGTATAAGATTAAGAAATTGCCCGTATTTTTTATGATACACATAATAATTATATACCAATAAAATAAACATAGAAGACACCAATATAGTAATGAACATTGTTTCTTAACCGTCCTGATGTTTCTTGACCATTTGATTAAGCTTCTTCCGTTTATTGTTTTTTATTCTTCGTACATATATAAAATGTCATATACAAAATAAATATTTTTTAATATATATAAAAATAGATATTCGATTTTCGACAATATTCATAATTATCTTGATAAATTAAATAAATAACATAATTATAACTTTTAATTATAATATGTAATATAATTATATAAACTATATAATTATTGTTTAATAAATAATATAATTATAACTTATAATTATAATAAATAATATAATTATAACTTATAATTATAATTATAATTATAATAAATAATATAATTATATAAACTATATAATTATTGTTTAAAAGCTTATTTATTTATTTTATTTGTTCTTTTTGTTTATTTAATTATAACGTATTGATTTTGATATCTAATAATATCGTATTAAACATTTTCTCAAAATTAATATAATGTGCATTTTAGAAGATAACAATATGAATATTGTAACATATTATATAATAATTTAATAAAATTATGTGTTAAAATCATATTTCGTTTCACATTAATTATAGTATTAAATTGGGATTTTGCAATAAAATGTTATAAACTTTTATTTTATACAAATTTTATAAAAATTACCGGATAGATTCTATGTGCAACGATCAATGGAAACACATAACTCAAATGATTAATTATAAGATAGAATTATAAAGCTTGTTAAACAGATGCATAAGTTTAACAAAGCTGCATAAACTGATAATAGACATTTGAAGCGTGTATTTATACTGTTTCTCCTCAAGTGCATATTAATAATTAGAACTCAAGCGCATATTAATAATTAGAATTCTTAAGAATCAGGCAATTGAATAATTCATTAATCATTTTAATTAAAGACAAATAATATTTTTATCTTTATAAGAATAGCATAACTTAGGCATAAAAAACCACAAGGCATTGATGTCATATGCAAAAAATTGTTTAAAATATTGAGATAAATTATAAATCAAATAATCAATTACAAATTCTTAACAAGAATTACAAATGCACGCGCAAACGTTTCGATCTATTTCAAATCCTTCTCAATGCTAATCGATGCATTATCGAAAATACAAAAATATATAAATGTAAAGAGAAACAGGTCGCTCGCAAATAATAACATTCGCAAATTTAAATTGTAATGCAAGGTCAACGTTCAAATTAATGAGAAAAGTTGGCGCAGATCAAATATTCGTCAATATATCAATACAATGATAAAGTCGAAATTTGTAATAAAGAAAAATAAATTTATAACGCTCGGATGACAGAATATGGCTATGGATATGCCTAAACGTCGGCATGCTACTCACCAGGTCCCAGCACAGAGATCGTAACTGTGAAGAAAAGAAAGTGTCAAAAAACGATGGTATCCGCGTAAAGGATCGAGAGATACTGCACGCTATCCACATTTGTCTGATGCCAAAAGATTCCTTATTTTGCAAGTTAATAAATCCAAAGCCATAAAAACCGGGATCTGAAAAATAAAATGAGCATAGCAACACGCATCCATGCAAACATATCACAGCAAAAAAGAAGAAAAAATTAATGTGAAATTAATGTGAAACAACAGTAAATTAAAGAGAAATTAATGCAAAATCATTCAGAGAAAATGCATACAAGCAGTAAACAAGCCAGTTAAACGAATGACAGCAAGTAAGCAAGAAAAAGTGTCATTAAGATAGTAAAGTATAAGAGACATTTAACTCACGAGACATACTGAGCACGCAATATTGAAGCGCCCGGCGTGCCGATAACGGTGAGAGGAGAGGGAAGAAATAAAAATTTAGGAACGAATCGTGGAATAATCCTTCTAAGAAACGAAGGATCTTGATGCAAAATTTTTATGTCATTTCATGAAAATTCATGTCTCTCAAGTCTATACTGGGATAAAACTGATAAATATTCAGAAGGTCGATCAATGTTCGATCTGCTCGTCTGCCCCACGTAAGAAGCGGAGCAATTACTGCAGCAAATTTTGTATATCACATTTGAGTGACTTTCTATCGGTAGCGCATCCTTATGCGTTTTTATGAAACGATTCAATTTATTTAACACGACGTAAGCAAGAGATTTATCTAGTTTAGTAGCAATATCCTTAAAATGCTCGGAAACACCTTTAATGTATGGAATCACAAAGAACGAATGAAAGGGAGAGGAGGAAGGACGAGGAGAGGAAGGAGGCACAACACGGTTATGAAAAAGAGACTTAATTCTGTTCGTGATTGTGGAAAAAATGAGATTTGCAGGATAACCATTATTAGAAAGTATCTCAAAAATGAGTCTAAAATTCTTCTCATGAAACCGGGGATGCGATAACTTAAAAATTTTGGCAGTAAGGCCAATAATTACGTCCTTTTTATGTGCTAAAGGATGTTGCGAGAAAAAATTCAAAAATCTCCCGGAAAAAGTGGGTTTCATTTACCAATCAAATTCAATGTGATTGTTGTTAATAATTGTTCTTAATAATAATGGTCTCATCCAAAAAATTAAGTTGATTGTTGTTGGCGATTTCCATAGTAAATTTGAGTCTTTCATGGAAAGAATTGAAAATTATCATAATGAGATCAAGAAAGGAGGAAGGCGCGATCAAAGCAATGTCGTCCACGTATCTGAAGTAAAAAGGAAGATGGAAGGGAAGCTATGAAATGGTTCTATCCTCAAGATCTTGCAAGACCAAATCCGCACAGATAGGGGAAAGAGGGGAACCCATGGGTGTTCCGAATATTTGTTTGTAAATCCTCCCATTGAATTTAAAAAAAGTAGAATTCAAAACAAGTTTCAGTCCAATAGCAAATTAAAAAAATGGAATCTTAATTTTGTCCTTGATCAAATGCCAACGTTTAGCAACACTGCCAATAATTAAATCTGTAGATACGTTAGTAAATAAGGATATGACATCAAGAGAAATGAGTCTAAGATGGTCATCTACATAAAGATTATTAATTCTATTAACTAACTCATAGCTATTGGCAATATGACTGTTGGAAGACTCGAAAGTATAGGAAATTCGAACCATCCGTATCTATGGCTATAACTTGCTTTACTTAGAGATTTGAAACAAAGAGTCTGTGATCCTCGAGAAATTGGTAAACATAAAACAAACACTGTGAAATAAAGAGAAATGAGCTTGTGTTGTTCATTTCTAGATTGACTTCATAATTTATTTATTAGGCTAATTACATAAAAACTATATTATAAAATTTAAATATGGCACATATATACACACACACACTCACGCTTATCTGAATACAATCGGTCAATTATGTAAATAATATAAAAGTACATTCGTCCAACACGCTTAACATTAGTTTATTTTTCATTAAAACAGCAATATTAGCAAATTTTCTTTTCGTAAAAAAGATTTTATTTTAAAAAGTTTAATATTGTATCATTATGTAATAAATTTTTGGAAAGAATGTCAAACGTGTCTCCCTGTGTGCGTTTTTCGTTATTAACTGTAGGCATATTTCCTTTCGTTATTAATAAAAAAATTAAATCGTCAAACGAACAGCTTTCTTGTACAGATTTATTCGCATCGGTAAGTTAATTTTCCGAGAATATATTGGAATTAAAAAGTTGAATTTATTATGATTATATATTGAATTTGTTAACATTTAACTCTATTCGCATCATACACGTTTATTATTGTATATTATTATAACAAATTATCATATGACAATATTATTTTAAACTTTTCAAAAAAAACTTTTTCTTTTTTTATGTAAATACTTTCCAATATTCTTGCCAATATAGAGAATTTTTCCGTTAAATTTCTTACATAAGGATTGTAACAAAGAAGAAGATCAATGTGATAGAAGGGAGCTAGTAGAAATGAACACACTCAAATCAAAAAGAAATTTTAAGCAAAAACAGAAGTTGAAAAAATTTATACTAAAAGATAATTATTCTCAAGAAAACAGATTAATAATTTTATTTAGATTCTTTTGGAGGTATGTTGGGTATGATAGTTTTAAATACTCTATCTACTAAGTCAATGGCCTTTTATAATATATCAAGTATTGTGAATGAAAATTTAAAAGTCTAAGAAATTCAATTTGATAGCAAAACAACGCGAATACATATGCAATCGAAGCGATTTAGAAATTTGGGATTTTTCAATTATTTTCTTTTACACCTGTATAACTGCGAGAATAGGGAAAGATTTCCTTGTATGCATTCGCGCTTTGATCGGAAAAGTCGACCACGATTGGCCGGTTTGCACACGATCGGACATCAGTGCGTATAAATGTGTTTAGTATCTTTCCGAGTGTTATATTTACGTGTTTATGCATTATTATTTATAGTGTCTGCCGGCAGTACTTTGCAGATACTAAGAGAAAAGAGAATAATAAGAAAATATTAAGAGAAAGACAAGAATAGAAATGCATCAGTCTTTCGAGAGACAGTAAACGAGAGAGAGAAAAAAGATCAAAGAGAATAGCTCCGGGGTTGAGGAAGAAAAGGGAAAACATTCAAGATAACCGAGTACCTTTTCAATTTACAGGACTTTTCGCTATAAAATGCATCTCTTCTTGAGATTGTCGGGAGGATCTATGTAGTTCGGTACTCTGTATACGATCATCGAAGACACCAGACGAGAAGCCAATGAACACACGTTATTTCGACACGTATAATTGTTGTTTAATCTTAATTTATTTAAGAGAATTTGAAGCAGCGATACAGCCTGATATCTTATTTCATGCGCAAAATTATGCAAATTCAAAGAAATCAATAAATTCCTAAATTAACAAAATTGTAATATTAAACAGAAACAAGTGCATGAGAAAAAAATGCATTAATATAATATCTTAAATTTGTGTTTGGAAGGTCACATCCTTGAAAAGTCGCGAAATAAATATCGTTAATCCTAACTGAAATATATGAGAATATAATTTTGAATTATTAGATTCGTATTTATTTATATTTTTATTTTACAGGCCTGTGCATTGTATAAAACCTTTTTATTTCTTTAAACTACAATCTGCATATAATTATCTGTTTGTCTGAGATAGTGTTTTTGCTGTTTTTACAAATGTAGTCAAAAACGCATTCCTTCGATAAATATATTGAATATCTTCACGATTATCGAAATAGATGTGAAATGAACATGCAAAACCTTAAAATAACAAGATCTCCGCGTATTAATATCCATTTGATTGCAGGATAACATAATAAGCGTGTGAACAAAGATCGCTATCATGGATAAGCATACAGAGAGGCATCTTCTCTTTTTTCTTGTTTTGTCGGAGGCAATTCCCGTCGCGATGATTGCGTGACACGCGTGAACGAAAATACGCGGTCTATTTCTCTTTTCTTGCATCATGAGATTTATATTTAAATGAGAAATATCTAAAAATAAAAATCCTACGCACCTTACGTGATCGTTTGAATGCCGTGACATTATACCCGATTTAATTAAACTCGATACATAAACAGAGGCAACAGGTTATTCAGGTTGGTTATTGAGATTTCATGGACGATGAGCGGCATCCATTTCTATGCTTAAGTTGCACCGTGTCACTTAAATACACATTTAGAAAAATATATAAATATTTCTATGTCGAATATATAAAGAGTAAACATTAAATATATCATTATTTATGAGATTTTATTTTAACATAAATAATTTGTCTAGTGCGCGCGTGTTCCAAATAACTTCATTTTTTAAACTCATTTGGTCGAAGACTGCGTAATGATACCGCTGTTCATAATTTCAATCTAATTTTAATTTCTACTTTTAATTAACACATGCTCACTTATGTTTTATATTTCTCATTATTTTTCTATTCTTATTTATCTTTCTATCTCCGAAAAAGCTTATTTTCTCTGATATAAATATAAAATATACAATATTTCTCTGATAAATATATAATATATTCCATCTTTTCTTTTATTAATCCAATCTCATGTATGCGTTCGCGTAATTAAATGAGAACGAATATTTTCAGATGTCCACGAACCAATTGAACGTGCTTGTGAGCCTGATGATCGCCATCGCGTTTTTTGTGTCGGAATCAAGAAACGCACAAACGCACGGCTATCTCAACCAAAAACTCGCCAACGTGCCCTGGCATTATTGTGGCACGGAGCTCTCTGATACTCTACGTATAGTCTGTGATGGTTCGTACAATTTCATGTATGATAATAGTAGAGATCAATGTAAGCATAAAAGCTAATCAATACAGAAGATATTTTTTTGGCTTATATACACGAATCCAAACGCCAAATGGGATAGTTAATATATCGGTAATGGATTAATGTGCAAAATTTTCTACTTCTGTAACAATGTTAAATAATATATTTGTTTCCTAAATGTATGCAATGTTTCCTTTATCAGATTTTAATATTTGTAATTATAGTTGAAGATGATAATTTAACCAGCATGATTTATTTATGAATTTTTTAATGTATCTCTTATTGTTAGAATTTAATCGCATATGCGTATGTGTTTTATACAATAAAATAAAAGAAATTTTAATTAATTGTTAAATATTAAAAGGTTATG